ACTCAGTTTTTCTTCCTCCTGGGTGTGCTGGGCATCTTTGGCCTCACCTTCGCCTTCATCATCAGACTGGACGGGAGCACGGGGCCCACACGCTTCTTCCTCTTTGGCATCCTCTTCTCCATCTGCTTCTCCTGCCTGCTGGCTCATGCCCTCAATCTGACCCAGCTCGTCCGGGGGAGGAAGCCCCTCTCCCTGTTGGTGATTCTGGGTCTCGCCGTGGGCTTCAGCCTCGTCCAGGATGTCATCGCTATTGAATATATTGTCCTGACCATGAATAGGACCAACGTCAATGTCTTTTCTGAGCTTTCCGCTCCTCGTCGTAACGAAGACTTTGTCCTCCTGCTCATCTACGTCCTCTTCTTGATGGCGCTGACCTTCCTCATGTCCTCCTTCGCCTTCTGTGGTTCCTTCACGGGCTGGAAGAGACATGGGGCCCACATCTACCTCACGATGCTCCTCTCCATTGCCATCTGGGTGGCCTGGATCACCCTGCTCATGCTTCCTGACTTTGACCGCAGGTGGGATGACACCATCCTCAGCTCTGCCTTGGCTGCCAATGGCTGGGTCTTCCTGTTGGCTTATGTTAGTCCTGAGTTTTGGCTGCTCACAAAGCAACGAAACCCCATGGATTATCCTGTTGAGGATTCTTTCTGTAAACCTCAACTCATGAAGAAGAGCTATGGTGTGGAGAACAGAGCCTACTCTCAAGAGGAAATCACTCAAGGTACAGACACAGCCTGGCTAGGCAGAGAATCCCTTGTAGAAAGGTGGGGGAGAATCATAGGATGTTATAACTGTAAGGAACATGCAAGATTTTCCAGATTATACTCTTGATAGACTAGGTAAGTTCCTTAAGGCTCAGATCTTGCTTAAAATCATCCAGCCTGTTAGAGACAAGTAGAACAAGAAGCTGGCCTCTGGATCTTTACTGAGTACTTTGTACAATTGGTGTAGACAGGGGAGAGCCCTCCTCACTTCCCCTTCCTTGTGGTGTAATTTCCTGTGGGGCAGAACACCTCAGAGCTTTCTGTGCATCAGAATAAGATGCAGCAAAGAAATGGAAAAGGGATAACGAGACAAATTCCCAGCAATAAGTAGGTGAGATTGTGTTTTTTGTAAAAGATAACGAGGCATTCCTTCCAGAAATGTAGAGCCTTTGTAGATTTCAGTGCATGAAACCAAGCCATGATTTCCTGCAGTGATCACAGAGCAGAGAAGGGAGAAAGCCCTTTTATCACAAACCAGTAGGAAGTCTCCTTAAAATTGGTAAGGATTCTGGTTTAGTGCAAAGAATCACATTTTTTTGTGTGTGCTTCTGGGCCCATGGGAAGGAACAGATCATAGCTGACATACAAGAATCAAATGATTTTGCTCTTGTCTGGAGTTGTGAGAAGCCAGATATTCTCGTGTTGTTTTCATAAGCAAAAGAGGCTAAACTGATGGCCAGAAAGTGGCCCTGCTCATAGGGACCTAATCATTGGTCTCCAGGGTTACCCTGACCTTTAAGTCTAATCACAGGGAGTGGGTGGTTTCGGGATAGGAATGAGGAACCTCCAAGGCCATGTTCTTAGCGCCAGCTAAAAATAGGTCTTTCCTTTGCTCTTAAGCCTGAGGTGTGGAACTTCCTGGTGCTACTCACTGCAACTGTGGTCCCTTTCTAGGACACTTGGAAGTCTGAAGGGAGGTTATTGAACCACCCAGCCCCTCTTGTCTGTTCCGTGACTTCACTCCATCACCTCACTCCTGGACTTCCTGTTCTCATTCACTGACGAGTCTTCCTTCCTTCATTCATTTTATGGACCACTGTCAGCTTTCTCCCTTAAAATGCTGCTCTGGCCTCCATGCTTTGCTGCTCACTTTCCTCCCTGGGTCCCATGATCCACCCCATCCCATCAAATCCTTCCTGAGCCCTTCCACAGTTGGAACCAACAACCTCTGAAGCTTTCCTCTCGGTCCAGATAAACCAAGTCACCGCGCTATCCTGCCTGTGCCCGTGCTCCAGGTGTGTCTGTCCTCTGCCTGGCGTAGCTGTCTCCCTCTTCTGCCCTTCTCCAGGATCAGGCATTCCCCAGTTACCCCTGGTACTCATTCCACCCTGTGTGCATCTGTAGGACTTTGAAATGCTCTTATCAGTGTCTGTCTCATTGCATTGTTATTTATGGGCCTGTCATATGTTCCTCACTCTCCAGCGTCAGCTGCAAGGAGGGATCATTCTGGTTAATCCTTATGTGCTTCACGATCTCTTACATAAAGGTGTTTAAGTGTTTATTCAGCAAATTGGGCAGGTAAATTTGGTGGGAAATAAACGAATTGCTTTGAATTGCATTCATGATGATTGCATGTGTTTATCCTTCTTTCCCAAGCCTCTGATTTTCCCCAAATACACAGAAAACAGTTGCTCATCAATCCTGCCTCTTCTCAAAGAAAATGATACAAATATGTACATATTTTCCTTGTCAGGCAGTTAAGGAAATAGGTAAATCCCCAGTGAGATTCACTGTAGGTACACCCCTGGCCAGATTTATATCTGAAATGACTGGTTTTTATGACTTTTCTTTTATTTTCTTTTTTTTTTTTTTGAGACGGAGTCTTGTTGTGTCGCCCAGGCTGGAGTGCAGTGGTGCGATCTCTACTCACTGCAAGCTCCGCCTCCTGGGTTCATGCAATTCTCCTACCTCAGCCTCACAAGTTGCTGGGACTACAGTCTCCCACCACCACGCCCGGATAATTTTTTGTATTTTTAGTAGAGATGGGGTTTCACCATGTTGGCCAGGATGGTCTTGATCTCCTGACCTCGTGATCCGTCTGCCTCGGCCTCCGAAAGTGCTGGGATTACAGGCATGAGCCACCACGCCCGGCTTGATTTTTTGTATTTTTAGTAGAGACAGAGTTTCACCGCGTTAGCCAGGATGTTCTCGATCTCCTGACCTTGTGATCTGCCTGCTTCGGTCTCCCAAAGTGCTGGAATTACAGGCATGAGAGCCACCGTGCCCGGTTCATTTTCAAATGTGCTTTTGAAATGGTCCTAGGATGAGGTGGGGCTCTGGTGAAGTTCTGAAAAAGGGTGTCTCTAGTCATTATAGTTATTCATTCATTCAACCACTATTGTGTTTGCTTTGTGCCTAGTCCTAGGCTTGGGGACCTAGTCTCTCTCCCTGCAAGAAACTTAAGGTCTGCTGGAGAGACAGGCAGTTAAATGGGCAAGATGTCACATTGTGATCAGTGATACAACGGGGTGAACACAGGTGGGGGCCCCAGTGCTTTCATTTCTCCTCTCCCTCTGTTTCAGGTTTTGAAGAGACAGGGGACACGCTCTATGCCCCCTATTCCACACATTTCCAGCTGCAGGTACGTGATTTTTTTTTCTCCCTCTTCGTCAAAGGCATTAGCCCCTCAGGAACACTGATCCTTTGGAAACAGGCGATATTGCCATTCTGATGGCCCCTAGATGGCCACTTGAAGGGATGATGGGTCTTCTTTCCTCTAATTGGCCTCATGGGGTTAGTGGGGAAGAAGGAGAGCTTGGCATAGAGAGGACTTGGGGGTGGGAGGCCTGGGAGAAGGGGAAGGAATTGAGACTCCTGCCCAGACTGGAGACCTGTTGAGATGGCAGGAACTGGAGTGGGTTTCACGATATGATTGTTTCTTTTTCATAACCAGCCTCCCCAAAAGGAATTCTCCATCCCACGAGCCCACGCTTGGCCGAGCCCTTACAATGACTACGGAGGAAAGAAAGAGGGCAGCTAACTCTGTCCTGAAGACTGGGACAAACACAGCTGGGCGGCAGATCCAGCGGGAGCTCAAAGGGATGTGGGCGAAATCTTGAGTCTTCTGAGAAAACTGTACAAGACGCTACGGGAAGAGCTTGCCTCCCTCCCACGTCAACCACAATTCTTCCATGCTGGGGCTGATGTGGACTAACACGACTCCAGTTCTTAGCGGCCTGTGGTGGTTTTTTTTTTTTTTTTTCCTCATCCTTAGGATACTTCTTTTAAGTGGGAGTCTCAGGCAACTCAAGTTTAGACCCTTACTCTTTTTGTTTGTTTTTTGAAACAGGATCTTGCTCTGTCACCCAGGCTTGAGTGCAGTGGTGTGATCACAGCCCACTGCAGCCTTGACCTCCCATGCTCAAGCAGTCCTCCCATCTCCGCCTCCCAAAGTGCTGGGGCTACAGGCATGAGCCACAGCTCCCGGCCTAGACCCTTACTCTTGCTGTTACTTTCCATGGACTAAAGGTCTGGTCATCTGAGCACACGTTGGCTCACACAGCTCTAGGGGCCTGCTCCTCTAAGTCACAGTGGCTTTTGTGAGGATTGCTTGGCCCAGAGCAGACCTGCACACCTGAACAAAAACAGCACAGGCCTGTCTCTCAACCCACTGGCCTGAATCTACACTGGAACCAACTTGCTGGCACCCCCGCTCCCCAACCCTTCTTGCCTGGGTAGGCAAGGCTAAAAGATCACCCTACATTTACTCATCTCTCTGGTGCTGCCCCACATTGGGCCTCAGCAGCTCCCCAGCACCAATTCACAGGTCACCCCTCTCTTCTTGCACCGTCCCCAAACTTGCTGTCAATTCCCAGATCTAATCTCCCCCTACGCTCTGCCAGGGGTTCTTTCAGACCTCACTGGCACAGGCCCAGTTGCTCCTTGTCAGGAGAATTTGCAGATCATTCTTACTCTAAATTCCTGGGGCTGATACTTCTCTGTCTTGCACCCCAGCCTCTGTAAATAGATTTACCGCATTCACGGCTGCATTCTGTAAGTGGGCGTGGTCTCCTAACAGAGGAGTGTTCATTGTGTAATAAGTTATTCACCTGAGTATGCAATAAAGATGTGGTGGCCACTGTTTCACGGTGATGGCAGCAGTTACCAGTAGTGAGCATTAGATGCTGGGGGAGAGAACACGGGCTGCCCTGCGAGCTTCATGTTGGAGCTGAAGTTCAAGTTCACTTCCTTTGGCTTTGTACTTGACCCTTCTTCATGTGTCTGTCCTGTTGCTTCTAAAACAAGTGTGTTTCCCCTAATTTTTGAGGTTGTCATTGGTGAGAGAGCCAGGATCGTCATGGGGCCTGAGGTTTTACTCCAGCAAGGCAGAGGAGTGGCAACCTTGGCTTGGGGTTTGGCGGCCCAGGAAAGGCAGGGAGGGGAGCTCAAAGCCGGTTTCATGTTTCACCCAAGGTCTAATTGTGAGAGAGGACAAATCCAGATCCCCTATTTGACAGAATTAGTTCACAAATGTCTCTTGGCAAAGACATGATACTTAACCATGGTAATTGACTTAATCCGAGAAACAGCTCGGTAGGGCAGAGCAATGGGAAATCTCTCTTTGGTTATGGAAAAAACATAATCCCTCTACACAGAAACTGAGTGACGTGTAAAAATGTGTAGCTAAGTCAGGGAGTTACTTCCTAAGAGCCTGACACTCTGCTTTTCAGGAAAAGGAAAAACCAGAGTGAGGCAGAGGCGAGGGAGGTGGAGGTGAACGGATGATGTGCTGAGTTAGGGATGTTTATATGGCCACAAAGGTTTGGTTGGTAGGCTTTGCACTAAGATTAGCCTAGCTTTGTACTGAAAAGGGGGAAGGTCACATAGTGACACAGATC